AAATAATATGCACTTGTTCTAGAAATACATATATTCGAAATGAGTATCTATTTTAGATATAGCCTACTCGCTTGACGCGAGTCATTTTCTAAAGAGCTCCCTTAGCATTTTTGGGAACAAGAAAGAGTCCTTGGCAATCAAATCTGTTGAATATAATGGACGTGACATCAAATTGTAAATATAATAGGAGAGCAGGTTTTTAAAGCTAAATTTAGGAATTTTTCACATAATTTCCTTGCTTTAACCAATCCAATAATAATTCATCAACCTTCACCTTCTTCCAAGACGAATGTCGTCGGAATATTGACCGATTTTATTGTCTACGACTTTTTCGAAGCTATTCTTCTCTATATATATAGTATACTGCTATGACTTTTCTTTTGTCTTAGAAGTCGATCGAAACGAACCTTTCGAATCAAACATCTAATTGCGTTTATTTTCACTTGTCGATCTTTTAAGAATATGCACGAACAACTACTTGTATACCTGCTTGTTCAAAAAATGTAAAAACTCTTGGATTACTTTCGATGCTTTGCCTATCGAATAAAAGTGTTTTGAATCCAAACTTCGCCCAAAAAATAGCACTTTATTTAAATACTCTAATTATGAGTATAGTAAAAATAAAATAATATTTTTATAATATTGAGCCACCCTGGCAGTTCGCCGAGCCTTACAAATTATGTAGTCGCCATAATATTTTCATTATAGCATACAAATCAGCGCGTAAAATGGTTGGATAATGGGGAGAAGGCCACACAGACAGCTGTCGCCAACGATCCTTGCTTTGGCATCCACGGCAAGGACTTGCTTTAGTCTGCAAAACAGGTGTTTCCTAATTTATTGACAATGCCACCGCAATTGCTGCTGTACTACTTGGTGTTGGTGTTATTGTCTGTATTGTTTGTTTGATTTGCGCATTTCCGCCGCTTGTCAACAACACCCCTGCGCAGCCAACCCCCTCCCCCAACGAGGTGGGGGCTGAGCTTGTCTGTGGCAGACAAATCAAAAGTGCCAACACTGCTTGTCATGTGCTTTTTAATTTCTAATATTTCACGCGCATTTCGCACACAACCCCCACCCTTATGAACGGGAAACCCAACCCCATCCACCCCAGAACAGAACAGCCAGTCAATGCTAATGCCTTGCCGTTGACAAGCAGCCGACAGAGGGCGCTGCCATTGTTGTGCACTTGCTGCAAATTATGCGAGACACGTTTGCCACATCGCTATGCTGCGCATTTCATTTGCCGACGAGGTGGCCCTGAGGTGCATTTTGGATCGGCCAGACCTTAACGGACCCTGCAACGTGTGATAATGCCACGACCATGCGACTTTACTGGGGTTGGCGGCAGCGTGGGCAACACAAAAGTTTTCTTAAAAATTGCCCAAGGCCAAATGTGTGTGTGCCTGTGTGGCAAGGCAGGGGCTACAAATACTGTGTAGCTTGTTATACTCTTCGTGGCAGGGTATTCTGCGTACTCGTAAGGGATTTGTAAAACACTGCAAACAAAGCAAAATTGTTAATGTTAACTGGAGTTGTTTTTTAGGGATTTTTAAATGTATTTTTAAACGGTTTTAAACAACAACAACAAACAAATAAATTCTATAAAATTACATTTAAATTTTTTTTTTTTGTATTATTTCATGTAAATAATGGTTTTTAATGCTACTTTTAAAAAGAAACTCCAGAAATTGTCGACAATTTTCAATATCTGAACTCAGTTTTCAGTTCATTATAACTCATTCAAAAGTGCATTTATATCTAATTTTAGAGTGTACACTTTTAAAGAAATTGTAAGTGAAGGCCCTACTGTCTTAGGCAAAGTTTAAAGATTACACCATCTGCCTAAAAACTGAACTCCATTACTCTTATTACTGAAATTATGATTCTTATCTTCAAAGCTAAACTTTTTATTTCACAGCGATCAATTATAAGTATTAAATATCATCTCTGCACCTTTATTGTTAATAAACTGGCTATTTTCAATATTCATTGATAGTAAAAAAAAACAGATATGGAACTATCCATTTTTTTATAAATTATTGTAAATTCTCTAGCAAATAAGAAAATTGTAGAAAACTTGGGAAATATTTGTAGAATCGTTTTAAAAGTTTTTAAATATGTTGGAAGGTTTGAGAAAACGATTATGATTAATGATTAATTAGCCTTTTGTGGCTAGTGCATTAATTTATAAGAATCTTTCTTGTCGCACTAGGAACTAATAATAAATAAATAAATTAAGCTCAAGATGCAGAAAATAAAAAAATTTTGGAAAGGAGTTCCATTATTCGTTGTTTAAAAAATTGTTTTGTTACACATTGTTGGTGGGTTGTGTTTTTATTTTGCAGAGCAGTGCACGTGCTGCAGAAACTCAGTGCCTTTGTATGGATGTTGTTGTAATTGCTGCTTCGCCGCCTGTTGACAGCCACACTTCAACTATTGTTTGCTTTTACAGCTCACCTCACCCGCTCCTCAGAGTTCCTCCCCCTACCACTACCCCTCCCCAGCTTAATTCAGCATGAAATTGGTTTGTAGTATTATTATTTTGCAGTCGTCTTCGTTGTCTCGACGCTTGCGGCGCTTCGGCAACACCTTTAAATGCACCAAACCATTTTCTCTGAGTGTTCGTTTAAAGCTCCACTTCTTCCGGCTTAAAGGGAGTAGATAGTATAGTGGCTTAAAAAAAATTGCCATCAAAGTTTGCTTTGATGCTGTGCGAACGCGCGCTCTGCTTTAATTAAAAACTGCGCGGTTGGTGTAACTAGCACTTGATTAATTTTTGGTTGCACACAAAAGTAATGCGAAAAAAACAGTACTTGCAACACCAGTAGTAACAGCAGCAACAACACCAAATGGGTGGCTCGTTTGCTGCTGCTCCGCACCAAAAAAAAAAAAAAAAAAAAGGATTCAAATTAATTATGTCCATGCTGTGTGCTGTGCTCTGCTCAGCTCGCTATCAGCGCGTGCTCTGCATACGTGGCACACCCATGACGGTTATCTAAGGTCCTGCAACAGAGTCCGAGCCCAGACGAGTGAGTTGTGTTGCATACTTTTAGGGCACATGCTGTGCGTCTGTGTGTGTGTGAACTTTCGTTCGCTTTTGAGTGTGGGTGTGGCATTGATATTGAATGTTCATGTAATAAAATATGCTTTCGAAATGTTTTGGCAATGGCCCGCGACTCGTTTCGAGTTAGGTGGAGAGCTCCATATATCCTCAAAATGCGTGCCCGCGCAGTCATTAAACCTGCTGGAAGTCAAAAGCTACTGCCTACTGACTATATACTTGTAATACGTATATATATATAAACACAAACAAGTAGACAGGCACATTTCATTTGTCATAAGACAAAGCAAATGTTGAAACTTGCCTGCCAGCAGCTGCAGTGAAATTTCTTCATAAAGGCCACAGGATTGCTTCCATAATGAATTCTGCTTAGTAATGTGTTTATCAAAAATTTAAACTATATCCTGAGAGTTTTTTCAAGAGTTGCCAGTACATGTCCTTACAGAAATGTGGGCAGCTCCCTTTAAGCAAAACGACTACCATTTATTTCTATTGATATCGCTCTTAAGGTTATTTGAAATAATTTATAAATTTTATAACATTGCTCCAAATTCAATTTTTGCTTAATATCTCAAATATATATGTAAAATATATATTTAAAATGTATATCTAAAATTTTTATATTTAAAATATGTATCTAAAATATATATCTGAAATATATAAATTAAAAAAATATACATATATCTACTTTTAAGTGACGTCAATTAAACATTCGGATGTTCGAGCTTACTATCGGCATTATTCCTTAACTGATATGACTCTTGGAACAAAATTTGTTCAGATTATTTTAGGTATTTTATATGGCACGATTCGAGTAGTATTATTGCCTAAAACATCACAGCAGCGGCACATTGTCAAGGTGGGGAACCGAAGAATCTTTGATCTAGCTAGACCACTTTCTAGTCTCTTGCTGGAAAGAGCTGCCACCATTAATTGACGAATAGATTAATCTAAAACTACTCATTACTATAGACCATGTTTAATTCTAGAATATATAAATATATAACAAATCGAACGCATTTAAATATCAAGAAACAATACAGTATTATATTATAAAATTCTTATCCTTTCGCACATTCTTTCAAGCAACTCTTAAAGAGTAGTTTTGTTATTAATTAATTGGGTTTGATATTTTTACAAAATGAGGCAAGCAAAGCTGACAATTGTAAAAAGGACATTTTGTCTTCTGAATTTCGCCCCATGCTCTATTTAATTATTTTGAAATTCCTTAGAAGCAGATACGACTGTTAAGGCAGAACTTAAACACAATATTAATAATCGTGCAGGGGGTTTTCATGTGAAAAAGGCAACGAATCATGCTTGGCAGTCGTCGATGTCTACGCAGCAGCCGCTAAGAGTCATCACTCATGCACACACACACACACATGCGCACACATTTCGGCAAGTGAGTTGCAGACACGCCTGATTTTTACCTAGGGTACAAAGTATAGCATACTTTGTGGCGCATGAAGCGCCAGACTGGCGCCAAGCCAAACAAAAACCCAAACAAAAGAGCGTGCCACACACATACGCACATGCGAAAGTATATATATATGTGTGTGTGTGTGTATGTGCGAGCGCTTAATAAAGCGGCGACGTCACTTCAACTTTAAGCACAGAAGCTGCGCCCCAGCCACTGAATTTCCACCTACCCGCCTCCCCGCCGCCGTCATGCGGATTCGAAAGCAACATTCGCTAATGTAAATGTTTGTCTGCTATTTGAATTTTAATTACTTTTCTCGGTTTTTGCGCAGAGTAGAGCGCAGCAATGGAAAACTATTTATGCAGCTCTGGCCCACCTAAACTTTTTAATAGAATTTGGCCAAAAAACCATAAAAACTTTCCTGCCGCGCTACCAATCAAAAGTTACCGGCTGCCAGCCGATGCTGGCATTGTAATGCGCCTTAATTGAAATGATTCCCAGACCAATAATACGATGACGACAACAACAAGAACGACAACGACGCAGCCACTTAAAGGTAGCATCCAAATCGCCTGCTCTCCCAATGGCACAATCAAAAATCAACAGCAGGAGCCGCCGCCGGTGAGGTCGCTGGGTGGCATAAATTTTCAAATTGTTAGCTCGGCCTGTGGACCACTTGAACGGAAATGGCTAATTCCAGCTGCTGAGATTGCCGCCACCTCGTGGCTGCTGCTCCAGTGTCTGATGTCTGGCAGCTGTTCCCCACCGACACAAAAATATTCGCTTTTTCGTGTAACTTTGCTCGAGAGTTTATCAGATTGAGACGTGTGCTGCGGCTGTGGCTGTGGTCTTCCAAAAGTTGGCGTTGCTGTAAGAGCCAGAAAGAAATTCAATCAAAGGTACAAGTTAATCCCGCGTGAGTTCATAAAGTTCACAAGGCAATTTATTTGCTTCGCGCATAAACTTGAAAAAGTAAATGTGTAGCTGGCCATAAAAGGTACAACGGTTGTCAATTTGTGTGCAGCTCTTGTTCCTATTCTCCACGTATATTTCAGCAGGGTTGCAGGTAGAATAAAGTGAGCGTCTACTTTACATTTTTTGATGACATATCCCCTTAAAATAAGCTACTACTTTAAAACCCAATTAATCCAAAATGACAATGAATTGCTTTGATAAGAACAATATCTTCTCTCCACCACAAATAATTGAGCTTATTGAGAACACGTATCTCTCTATTATCCTTCTGTTTAATTGTTTTTTGAAATGCACGAGCACCAGTTCATGAATCGTCTGTAATATTAGACGGTTATAAGATGTCCTTAAAGCAATTTAGCTTGCAAGAACCATGTACCAGCGTGCATTCCTTCTTGTTCTCGGTTATCAGATATTCCTTTCTTCCTACAATAATCCTAACAATCTCTGTCATCGGATAAGTTATAAGAAAGTGTTTGAAAGGAACCGAATATATACCATCCTACAAAATTTGAACTTTATGGTCGGATTGTTTGGATACGAACCAAAGAATTTGTAAAGAAGAATTCAAAGTTATTCACGGGAAAATGTTACGAAATGGAAAATGCGACCACTTTTTTATCTTGAGACATTGGAACATCGATTTGAAACAATACATACTTCATCAAACTTTTGGAATAGTATCAGCTAGTTATTTTTAAAAAGGATATTATTATTAGTAAAATATTCATTTGAAGGTGTGAGCATCTCAACAAATGACATTTGGGAAATATGCAAAAGTAACCGAAACAAAAACGATGTTTAGTACTGACAATGGCGATGGCAATGTTAAATGCTTTCAATGTTTGAATGAATTGATTCCATTTAAAATAAAATTGTATTATGATTTTTAATTAAGACTTACTTAATAATACCTATACTTGTTTATTAACGACTCTTTTCCAGTTCATCAATGTCTATAAAAAAAGAAGAATATTTAACAGAAGAAAAGCTAAAACAAAAACAATATAGTATCGACATTTTTTGAACAATTTAATGAAATGTGATTTTCTAGCTAAACCAAAAGCTGTTGCGCTGAAAACACAATCACCCCTTTACGTTAAACTTCATTTATTTAACAAATGTGTTCAAATATTGAGTCGATTTCAGAAACATCACGCATCCAACGCCAAATTGTAAAACACAAAGGATAACTCTTTTGGGAGCAAAGCAGTCAAAAATCACGCGCCTTTGAAGTTGAAAAACCAAGCAACATCATTACTTGTGTAGAAAGGGGAAAAAAAACATCCTTTGCATGGAACTAAATCTTTTTGCCTCCAAAAACATACATATAGTACATATAGTCAATTAGTGCTAAGAGCATGTCAAACAAGCAGTAAGCTTTAAGTGGCATTTCTCTATTGCAACCCATAGCCCCAAAACGGGCAACAAGCCGTGGCAAAAAGCACAGAGAACACGTTTTTGTTTGGGGGCGTGTGAATCGAAAGGCAATGCCATTGATTGCCAATGGCTCTGTTCGCCTCATTTTACCTCAATCGAACAAGCAGCAAAGCCAAAGCCAAAGCAAAGCAAACATCTAATTGCCTGGACAGAGCAAATAGCCAAAGACACTGGGGACTACTTAGCAGGAGGCAATCCCACAGCTGCCCAAGTCTTGTAACAACAACAGCAACTACAATAAAGAGGTGAAGGATTAATAGCAAATAAATTGATGTTGAAAAGGCGATTAGATTGGGGAATGGAGGGCAAACAAATGCTGGATATTGGGAAGACAATTCTTTAAACACTCTTTTTTTTAAGTTGTTGGTTCTTTGAAAATTTTCGGCTTTCAAAGATTAAAGCCAAGAAAAGGAAAATGTTATAATTTTCGGTTCAATTTAAGTTAGTAAGTAGAGTAATTCCCCAAAAACCATTCCAATTATCACTTAATAATATCGATATCACAATATTTGAAATCAAGCAGCCAAGAGTTATATATGTTTTTAATAATAAAATAAAAAGCCAAATTCTGTAAGATAGAAAAGTAAGATTAAAGAATAGCAAAGCTTTGTCGCATTTTGTTTAGTTTTGTTGGGAAACATTTCATTTTCCTCGCCTCATAAATCATCTAAAAATTTACCTATGAAAAGAAAATGTCAACGCGTTGATGACGGCCAAAGGAAAAAGGAGGCGAAAAAAAGAAGCGAAACTGAAAGTCAAAATGCTAACAAAATACATGCTATATGAACATGATGGCATTATCATATGAATATTTGACCAAACAATCAACAACAGCAGCAACAACGAAAAGCCAAAAGTTGTATAAATTTAAGCAACCCCCAAGCCTGATGTGTCCAAACAACAAAAGGTAAAGCACAGGATGACCGAGCAGCATTTATTGGAAGGACTCGAGGCATCATGTGTTGGACAAAGAAGATGTTTTGGGGAGGTGGCTGAAGTGGACGGGGTGGTGGCGTATCGAAAGCGATGCGTGCATAAATTTTCATACAATTTTTTTTTTTCGTTTTTTTCGTACTCAATGGGGCGCAAAACTTTGATTTATAACTCCATATTTGGTTTGTGTTAGTTGTGGTGCTTCGTATGCCTTTCGAGGTAAAGTGGGCTGAGCGATTGGCCACTCGGACTACTGATTACCATGAAAATGGTCAGCAATGCTCAAATGAAGGACGTGTGGCGAATCATACATAGAAGAAGTCAAGTGAGTGGCTCGGTGTGCGAAAAATCGATGACTGACTAGACTTTAAGCTTCTATTTTTACTAAATACGGCTGCCACTCACTTTTCCCTCTCTTCACGTTCATTTTCACTGTCAAAATAAAATTGGAGGGGCAAACAATAAAAGGAATGGGGGTAAAAAAATACACTCGCACTCGCAGTCTCACACTCAGATTGCGGTCTAAAATTTGCTTGCATGTTGAACAGAAACAATCAAATTGCAATTTACTGGCTCATAGAAAACCGATTTATCGTTTGGGAAGTTAGTCGGTCATAAAACATCCATTAACTTCATGTCAATGTTGCATGCGCACAACAGACGCACTGGGCATTGGGTATTGGGTATTGGACATTGGACACTGGGAATGGGAATGGGGCTAACCAGGAGCTGGCCAGGAGCCCACTGGCCAGTCGCAAGTCAACAAACGTTCATTTGCGGTATTGGTTGTTCAATTTATACATATACTTGTATGTATGTATGTATGTAAGTATACTCGTATGTTTGTACGCACTCGTATGTGTGTTTGTGGGCGTTGCAGGCCATGTCGATAGTCGATGTCGTGTACATTGCAAATTGCTTAACCTCTATGGCATGTCAGCGTTTTATTTGCCTTTTTGTTGCACCAAAACTTCGAAACTAAATGACACGTGATAAGAAATGGCAGGAGGACCAAAAAAACATAAGGGAAGATTAAAAAAAAGTGTTGAAAAAACAATTGCACACGTAGGCAGAAAGCAATTTTGGTCACACTGTAACAAATTCTTTGAAATGGAAACAAATACTTTCGAAACATTTCAAATATTCGTAATTGAATTTAAAACTCAATCAAATAATGTAATGGGAATTCGCTATTTATAAATGCGCTAACAAGTTATGAGGCTTGAATTTTGGTGCTGAAAAGCATTACAAATTTCAATATGTACATTATAAATACAATGTAAAACTGATTTCAGGAATATTGTGAAATTATAAATCTCAAAATGTTTGTAATTGGTGAAAGCTAGACCACAGCCGAAATTAGCGAAATTAGCTTACTTTAAGATTTTGATCGGCTATCAATCGGAAGTTATTGCAACACATTTTCATATAAAACGACTATAACCGAAGTTATCGTGGATTGAATAGCTTTTTGAATATCTATTTAGATAGTCTCTTCACGAAAGATTAAAGGGTAATATAAAATGGTTTATTACATTAAGTAGTACTATAACATACCATATTTCTGATCAGCAATACAAATTGAATTGTGCTAGACATGGTCGTCTGTTCGCTTGTTTAAGTTTAAGAGCTGGAGTGACCAAAATTGTTTTTTTACTTGTACATAAGTTTCTTCTGTTTAATCAAAGCATTGAAGCCGTGCATTCAGATTAGCACCTTAACAATACATTTTTACAAATATAAAATAACCCAACCTCGAGCACTTCCGCGCGAGGATTAATAAGTTAGTGGTGGCTTATCTAAATGTTTTGAAAAAACCTAATCGTTTCAGTTTTCGCAAAGGTCTAGCAGGAAGGAGTCCTCTGGCAAGCAAACTGCGGTGACTCAGAAGCCTGCCACTGTATCACCAAAATTGTAAGTTATTTTTGGGACAAGTTTATATCCATATTGGCACATTTTTTGATGCGATACAATGATATTTGAAGCAATTAAATGCTGTTGGATTTCCTTGTTATTTAGTAAATTAAAAGAAATAATTGATTTTTTTTAAGATTTTGTAAAAAAATATTTTACATAAAAACATTTTTATTTTAGAACCAATTCCCAAATTGCATTACATTCAGCGTTTTACTTACATTATGTTTTAAAACAATCTAAACAATTTGATTATTATTTATAAGAACGACTTTGTTTGGAAAAATGTATTTATTTCTCAATTGTTTTTGATCCATTTATGCATTGTGATTGTCGTTACGTAAATTGTTAGCCAACTAGTGTAAAAGCTGAAAGCCTATTTAGTATAGAAGTAAAGCCGCCATATTCATAGTTAATCGACTCATCTACCTATACAGATACACAATTTAGGACTTGCAAAAGCTTGGACTATTCAGTGCTTCTCAGAGACTACACTTTCTTGATCGGAGCACATCAGTCTCATAAAATCTCCA